GATGAACGATCTTATGCACGATTACGAAGTGATGTCCAGAATAAGTGATTTAGTGGCCCAGTTAAAAGGCAGATACGAGGTAAAGACAAATTGATAAGTTCGCTATATACTTTGTACTATATACTTCGTTGAAGTAAATTTATATAATTTTTATATATTTGTGATAAAAATTTAAAAGTTGTAATTGATTTGCGCAAATTAGTTAATGTTTTATTTTTCTCTGAATTCAAAGGGGATGACGCTTCAGACTACCAAGCAAATTCTGCAATCGATACAAATGTCGATACAGCAGAAAGATGAGGATATGGTATGGGCCGATAGTTGTTGTCTCCAGCTAGTCACAAAACAAGGTCAAATGTACACATTTCAAACAGAAAACCCATTAGTGAAAAAGGATTGGATAACGGAGCTTAGATTGGCGCAATTAGCTTTGGATCCTAATAACTCTCCCTCGTGGGAAGTACCTGAACAAGAGCAAAGGCCATCCACGAAAATGCCACTTTTCGTTAGTTCACAAGCCGTCTATCATTCGCAACATCAGACTGAAGTAAGTTAAAATAAAGAATATATATATGTATATACATTGCTATTTTATTGCTTATACATAATACATTTACATGTTGCGATGTATTTTGCTTGTAGGTGCGTTGCGGTTGTTATTATTCTGTTGAAAATTCACGTCCCACGAGACGACGCGGTAGAAGTCAAAATTACTTGTGGATATGTACAGGAGATGGCATATCTAGCCACGTAACGATTTTTGGTCAGTCGACAACAGCTTCAGCGACTTGTTTGAAACGTATAACTACTTTTGATCTAGTTGAAACTAGAGTGAGCGCTATCGAGTTTGTAAAAGGAGTGTCCAGCGATCTTACCACGCTCGCCAGCGATCTTGTATGGATGGGTACTGATTCTCGAAGGATTATAATTTATGCTGCGACAGAACCCGAGAAAGAAGAAGAGATTGGGAGTTATCCTGTCTCGGGACCCGTAATAGAAATCAAGTATCATTGCGACAATGTTTTCGTGGCTTTAGGCATGGGCTTGTTACTTTTGTTTAAACGACAAGCTGATGGAGCATGGAATTTGAAAGATCCTTTCAGCATATCATTGGGTAACGATCCTGTCTCGTGTTTAATGCCAATCAATACGTCAGTTTATGCCGCTTGTGGCAAGAAGGTGTGGGTACTTAACGCTACTTCGGGTGACGTCACCAAGAGCTTCAATGCGCAACATGAACATGTCGGGAATGTGAAGCTCATGGCCCATTCCGGAGTCGGTCTTTGGGTCGCCCTGAAAAACTCTAGCACAGTTTGCCTTTATCATACGGAAACATTTAAACACCTGCAGGACATTAATATAGCGTCCAATGTATTGAGAGTGACGAAAATGAGTAATCCTGCAAACTCATGTGCCGGCACCCTCGCTGTTAATAATCAAACTGCGGTCACGGTCACGGCACTTTTAGCATGCAAGGGTCTTTTATGGGTCGGTACTAATGTAGGCATTAGTCTGACTATTCCACTACCGCGATTGGAAGGTGTACCTATTATCAGCGGTCGTGTCAATATCTCGTATCACGCCCACTTCGGTCCGATCACTTTTTTGCTGGCGATACAGAATACAAAGAATACAGTGTACTCTGCGAAGGAACGAGTTAATGTTGATGATGAAAGTGTACAATTGAGGGCGAAAGATGCCGAGCAGAGATCGCGTGACAGAACGAGTTTAGATTCTTCTATGTGTAGTAATATTGTGAAACTGAAACAACAGTTAACGGGAAGCCCGGTGATGTTGAGGAGAAAACGAAGCAAGGAATATGACTGCAGAGGTTCGAAAACACTTCCTAGAGGATTAGGCGCTGGCTGTGGATTTCTGTCTAGCTCCTTCTCCAGCTCGCAAAGTTCCGGTGAAAACTGTGACGTTTACGGACTATACGGTGAATTGATGTACGTGAAAGATTACGAAAATGAAAACAATTCGGGTATAGATCCCATTTACGAGTCGTTGAGGAGAAGCGATCCAGAGCTGGCTGCCATACCAAATAAAGTGAGTACCTTGGATCGTAGATTAAAAATGAAAATCACTAGGCCTAGATCGCTGGATCTTTCCAACTGGTCGGTGGATTCTCACACCAGCTCCTTGTACACGTCTTCCGGATCGGAGGAGAACTTGTCTCTAAAAACTGGAAAATTATCGCGTAATAGTAGCATAGCTAGTCGTAACGGTCCCTACGACCTCTCTACACCTAACAATAGCGTAGTAGAATCGGGATTGGAAGCAACGTTAAATGGCAAAGCGGTTCAGCAAGTAGATCAACCCAAAAGAACGGTGCTAACACTGATGGGTGGACGCGGTTATATCAATTGGAGGCAACTCCATGCGCAATCCGGTGTTGACAAGAGTTCAAAATCGACCTACGCGTTTAAAGATCCTAACAGCAACGACGCACATATCGTCTTATGGGAGATGAAATTATGATATACGATTGCGTTTTTAGGTCAGTCGTTATACATGGTGCGAGAAGCGAAACTTTGACGCTGATATATATGTATAGTATAGTAGACAATAGGACCAAAAGAGTACTGATAATGCTTTAGATAAGATTGTTGACAATTGTAAAGGACTATCGGACACATGGTATAATCTCGATTGCATACGAGTATCCGTGTCTTTTCGAATAGATGTTTCATTAGTATTGATTGTGCTATTTTAAAGCGATGTAAATCAAGCTGCTAGAATCAACAAAGATGATTCGAGAGTATTAGAATATTAAATGTCCCTCGATTATCAAGATACTTAATAGGGACTGCGGGTTTTTTATGAACAATTTTTTTTTTAGAGAAGAATAACGCTTTATTAACTGAATACACACTGAAATATGTATGGATTGTTGCAGCGCACGACGAGATTAAATAAGTCAAATATCGGATACTCTCGTGCGTCAAAAGTGTTGCTTCTGTTGCATATGAAAATAACTAATAATGTCTCGATAACAATATGTCACTTCTAGGTTTGAAATTTTTGGAAATTTATGATCTGTATTTAAGGTATTACTTGAATCTCGCGTTAGTGTATAATAAAACATGTGATAAGCCTAAAAAATCATGAGAAGGGGCACAAAAACGAAACTTAAATGGAGCTTAAACAGAGTTTCACGTTGTGAAATTGTGAAACGTTTTACATTTAATATCCGTGACATACGAGAATAATTGCTACAAAAATGTTCCGCTCTCTTATGCTATAATAAATGTTCGCACTCAGTTAAAACTAACACATCGTTGTTCGCGCGCGTACGCGTTATAATTAAAATTTAGATGATTAGCCGAGTCTCTCTCTTTAAACTATGCGTTCATACGCGAAATATTCACCATATGTGCTGCAGAAACGCTGTATTTACATTAGATATTTTAATTTACATTGTTATAAACGATTACTGCGTTGTTTCATACCGATATGTATTATCTACACAACAATAATTTCGACGAAAATCGATCGTGAGTTATCTGGAAGTTATTCGAATTTTATACATTATGTCGATACGTGGTATTATTTATTTTTAAAATATACATATGTATTGACTTTTGTTTTAAACGGTAATCTTTCGGTTGCTTTTTTGCATCGAACAAGATTTAGACGTCGATTTAAATATATCAAAGTTCATCACATTTAAAAAACTGTAATTAGCAGTACAGTCCACGCCAAATTGTGCGGACACAACTGTAGAAAATAATACCGTTTTGATATTCGACATAAAGTTTATAAAGTTTCATAGTGCGCGTAATACAAGACAATATGATACACCTGTATCAAAATCAATTTTGCGAAATTATAAACTTTTATTCCGCTACAAGGAATCAATCATGTATTTTTTTCCCTAGAGTGGACACGTGAAGAATGAAAATTTTTTATATGTATGTATGTACATGTACATAAAAATTTTCACTTTTCACGTTTTCTTTTTAGAAAAAGTTACATGATCGATACTTTGAAGTTGAGGAAATTGAGGCATTTATTCATAAAGTTCTAAGTCTGAAGAGTTACTTAAAAACTCAGATTTTGGTGAATTATTGATCAATATTTAACGAATAGAGTCTCAAAATTTTTGTCATATTACAATTTATTGATTTTTATGGGAATTATTGAAATTAAAATACTTACTGAATCCAGATTATGGTTTATGTAGAGATATATTCTTTATGATGTACATGATAACACCGTAATAATGTATTTCAGAAAATGATTATGATGATTGATTATGATCGAATGTTTATTAAAATTTTTCTGTTTGGGATAATATATGAAAATTTGTCAGTCAATATGAATGTAATTAAATAAACGGAGGGCACCTATTTATAGATTATGAAATATTAATTATTAATGGCTATTGTCTGTTTACTCTTGTGATAATTATTGAGAAATTTATAGTTTCAGTTGTTCAACGAAAAAAAAATATATGTGACCGGTATTCATAGTCGATTTTTATATTTGAGACTGTCTTAAGATGTCATAAGCCAATCAGAGGATTGCATTAGCATCTTAAGACATTACTTAAGACGATCTTAAAATAAGAACGGATTATGAATACCGCCCTATACACACTTTTTCGTAAAATGTTAATGCTGTCCAGTTTTTGTATGATCGAATCTTCAATGAAGAAATGTTGATCTATGTACATATCTCTCGTATAAAATATGATAATAATGTATGTTACGAAACTCCGTTGAATAGATTTATATTTTGTACACTAATTTTGTTTGAATACATAGCCTTATTTTGTATTTATGCCTTTAGTACGCGCGTTAGTTACACAACGAAACTTTACTATGTATTTATTACTTATATATGATGTCACCGTTATAAATAGAGAATCTTGTTACTTTGCTGCGCTGAAAGCGTGCAGCGGTATAGTATACTTTTTGTTCATTGTAACATTATATGGCTACATTAAAATTATTTCAAATGAAAAAAAAATGTTATTTTTTATATATATATATATGTGTGTGTGTGTGTGTATATATAATATGCATACAGAGTTTTACTTAAAAAATCTTAGGATTGTTTGCAAAGTGATCGAAGTGGTATGCAGTCAGGCGGTAGAAATAACTATTACGGATTGATATAAAATGCAATCGATTGTATTATAGTTTCTAATGTTATTTGTACAATGTTTAATATAACGTGTTTAAATATCAACTATCCTTCAACACCTCCTTCAAAATGGATCCTGTATTTCTGGCTGGAATAAAGTCTGGGAATGTTGGAAGAGCAACGTTGGACAATAGTAATGTAGATTGCGCCGATGAGGATGACGACTGTTGTTTATTATATCCTGGTCGCGATGAAGGCTACGATTATAGCGCATAATGAGAGTAATGGTTTTTAATAGAGAATCATTATGCAGAGTTATTGATATTACTTACCGAATTCACAATAGGCAAAGCTGGTAACTGAGGTTTTGGCTTAGATTCACTTTCTAAAAACCTCACAAAGGCCGTTGATAAGGATGCTTCTTGGTCCTACAAGATATGAAATGTTAGGTATTGGTGATGCAACTGTAAGCCGAGTTATCGAATTTCGAATACAAGCAGAAATTACGATACCAATCGGCTAATGACATTAATAAACAAGTCTGTGTACTTTTAAAGATGCGCCGCTATTTTTGTTGGCTTGACGGCTACCGTGTGCTGTCACGTTATTCAAGCCAGTCTTATCTTTCTCCGACTCGGTGAAGTCCAAAATGTTGGCAAAGACTCTGAGAATTGAAGACTTGTCCGACGTGGTCGAAGCCAAATAGCCCAAAAGAAGATTTTTTATGAGAACTCTGCAAGAATTTCAGAAGATACTATCGCATTCATTTGATTAAAGATGGAATATATTTGGAACATACTCACTTGTCAACTTTTCCCTCATCATGTTCCGTTGCCTCTTTCACCTTTTGGTCAGCAAAATTTAAGGATGCTGTCAATCGTACCACTAGAAATGAATATTACACATATTATCGATCATTATTAATATAATTAATAAAGAAAATAATTGTAATCGAGCTCTTAAAAAAAAAACTACAAATTTTTTGTCAAAAAAGAAAGTGAGAAGGTAGAGAAGATTCAATAAATGCATTCATCCGCAGAAAACTGCCAAATCTTTGTGGAACGTTGATGCTTATTTATACGGTATCAATTGCGGAATATTTCTGATTTTTTTTTATGTACACCATGCGCAGTATCCATCGTTGTAAAGTTGGCAAATTGGTAGCTCGGAAAGACACGAGCGTAAGTATAACACAAGTACTGGTTGCTTCGATATCACACCAGTACCTGATGCAATACTCTCGCCTGCGCCTTTAGTTGCTCATGCTGCATTCTTCGTTTATCATGCCGTTCTACGAAACTAAGGTTGCGCGCATGCCACTAGAATTAAAGAAGCGTTTTAGTAAAACGATCCGTACTCCAGAGTCACGTACCAGAGCACGTTCGAACGGAATTTCCGAGAGATAGAAGTAGAAAAAGAAAACAAGAGAACATACATAACACTTTATCTTTTGCTACTCCTTAACGGATTACGTGAATTGTTAAAAAAAAAAAAAAAAAAAAAAAAAACAATTATCGACATGCCACGAATTTTTATTATTAAAGACCAAAAAAGTGATTGATTTTTTAACTATTAAAATGACCGAACTAAGTTCATAATTTTGACGAATCTTGGTAACGAGTGGGAAACCCCACGAGGTAATATGAGCTTTTCGTATTTACACGCTCACAGTTACCGCATGAGATTACCCACGGCTATCGCTACCAAATCATAATTACATGTTTGTTATTTATTTACATTCAATATTTCAGTTTCATTTCTATTTAATATTCTACATTTATATCTAATATTCATTATTTGTATTGTATATACATTACAGTATACACCATTATGCGGTACTTCATTTTATTTATCACGCTGTGATGTAATCTTGTGTAAAATTAAACAAAGCATAATACGCATTCTTTTACAATAAGCCATTACTTAAGTTTTAAGTCATAAGAAATTGACCAATCACAGTCGAATGTGATCATCAATCACGAATGTGTCAATCACAGATGAATAATCAATTATGATTGATTAATTTCTTATGGCTCAAGTAACGGTTTATTGTACAAAGCCCGTAAGATGTTATTATTGAATTATATTTCGCCTAACCTTTTCGGTTTCTCGAACTATTTATATAGAAATTAATTACAACTCTGACATGGTTTATTTTTTTAAGAAATATTAATAATGAGCGAGGAATTTATAGACAAAAGCAGTGGCAATTATTTCGGGACAATCGTATCGTTACTATATCTATAATTATGATAATTATATTGTTATAATTAATACCTATTGTTATAATTAGTACATAATTACGATCACTTCGCGCAATCTGACGTCTTAATTCGATGTTTAAAGTTTAAATATATATCGTTAATATATACATTTGGCTTACACATATGTAGAGGAGATTTAAAAAATTACAAAATATCTGTCTATGTGTCTTTTATACATTGCTATTTTGCATGCGTTTGACATAATGAATTATATTATTACGTAGAATAATTGCATGGTCTCAGATATTATAAAATGAAAACAAGACAATATCTTTACTACATGTACATACATAATAAAAAGGGTACAAATTTGTTCTACTACACAGAAATAGGTTGCTAATAGGGAAATCTCTACGATATACATACAGCCATTCAATCATACTGTTAATTAGTCATCGTACTCATAATTAGTTTGCGATATAACCATAACGAAATAATGATTCAATCGAATAAAAATAGGCGGTGAGAATACTAGCTGAGCTTATCGCCATATATAGAAGAAAGTGCAACATTAATATTCTTTTCTTTAAGTTTCCGAACGTTAGAGTCATCAATAGGGGTGGGAAAAACAAGAATTCGTATGTGGTAAAGTGCAGAAACGTAGTACCAGCACCAACGGCAATTGCATGAACCAACCAATACGTGATTTGTGAGTATGCAAAGGCGATGATCCAGTTCGTAGCCAGATACCAGCAAGAATCCTGGGTTACTGTCACAAATCCCAGAATTACCAGCTGATATTTGACTACATTACCGGATTGTGTATGTGTTTGCTTTCGCAGATTAGTCACAGAACGCGAACATACTGATAATTCTACACTGTAGTTGGTTTGTATTCTCGACAATGCACGCTTTATCGTATCTTCTCTTCAACCGTATCCTCTTCTCAATCGTGTATATTATATAATAATATATGAATGATGCCCCTTCTGTTGTTACTTAAATCGTTTCTAAATGTTCTCATATGCGGTATGTGCTTTATGTTATTTACAAAAAAGCCATATATGAAATTGACGTATTCCATTCAGAGATTCGCAGAGTAAAAATTTAGTAATGCTTTCAACATGTGTACGTCTGAATATTTTGTCGATTTATCATCGCAGTAGCTGCTAAGCAACTTCAGTATTGCTATCATTGGAGAGAGACAGAACATGAAAAAATTTTTACATATAATTTTGATAGATCTATTTATCACATGTGCTACAATCTATAAGATTTATAGCACAATTTGGCAAAAAAATTTGATTGTAGTCACAAATACTTTATATATATTTGCGTAGCATAGGCAATTAATTCATTGTCATCAAGTTATTGCACTCTCCGCTGACAGCACGACTGTCGCAATGTAGGATTATTGATGATGTCGAATTGCTCTGATTTTATTCTTATTCTTTATTTTTTTGCTTTCATAGTATATTACTTTCATATATAAAACTTATACTTGACGCGTACTATTAAATTAGTGCCGAAGCGCACAGCTCGGTTTTTGTCAGAATGGGTTAAAACAAAAGCAGAAATATGTGTAAAAAAATACGTGACCAGCCTTCTATATCGTGATGAGAGGGAAACTTATTTTCAACTTGCTTCTCATGATGCATAAAATGATTTAATCGAAAAACACTAATCATGCCATAAACAAAGAGTAAGATGCAGACAACGCCAGAAATACGTAATCTTTGATAATAACTACCTTCCTCGTTGAGTCGCTCGATTTGTTCGTCCTTTTTCTCGAGTTGTTCGCTTAGTCTAGAGGCAGCTTTCAAGCATTCTCTAGCTTCACGTAACTGTTGCTGTAAGCACACCGTACCAGCAATAGGTATATAGTTTTATAAGAAAATAAATTGAGTCGAACTTATACGAATGCATGGGAAAGATATAAAGGCAAACCTGTAGATTTGAAGCGTCATCTACTAATTTATCTTGTTTCTCGTATGACTCAGCGAGTCGAGATCGAAGTCTTTCTGTAGCCGCCATGACGTCGCGTTCTTTATCTGTAAGCATGGTATCGTCAATATATCACAGTATTTGAGATCTATGCTATAGATTAGTATAGATATATACCATTACTATAAAATTTATAATACGCGAAGAGAGACTATATGAAGGCATAACTGGTATGATATATTGTAACAATGATGTTAGATATATAAAACATTGTTGTTCACCTTGTTGAAATTGTTCCAAAACTATTTGTAAATTAGTCAAAGAAGCAGACTGCAACTGAATGTTGTCCTCTGCTGCGGATAATTTCGCCTGTATTTGATCCCTTTGTTGAGTAATCAGAGCTATTTGTTGCTGCAATGTTTCCACTTGTTGATTAGCCCTAATATTTGCCGATGTGAAGGCGGTTGAACTACTTTTTACTTTTTCTTCAGCTTGCAATAATCTTGCTTCCAACTCCTGACGATTATTTTCGGCGATTAAGGCTTCCTCCGTATAACTTGATTCCATTTCGACCAAGTGTGTTCTCAATCTCTCTAATTCTTTAGCGGAATTAGCTTCCTTGTTTTGAATTTCGATAAGCTGGTTCTGCAAAATTCTAGCGTTTGACTGTTCTTGCATCAGAGCAGCTTCTAGGGCGTCGCATTTTTTATTCAGAGCTACGATTTCGATACTCTGTCCGGAATCAACTCCATCGTGGCCTCCTTGCTGAGCCTCTACATTCGCCTTATTACGCATCTCGTTCGCTGTTTGCTCAAAAATTAATTCTTGGATGCGAGCTGCTTGTTCATTTACGCGCTGAATTAACTTTTGAATCTCGTTTTGATATTGTAAGCTTTCGTTGTGTTTAATAGAAACGAGTTGTTCAATCTCATTCTTCTGGTTTCTGATTACAGCAAGATCGTTCGAAGACTGCGCGATAATACTCTTCGCGTGAGTTATCTCAGCTTGTAAAATATTTATTTCCTGGTCTTTTTCTCTAATAATATGAGAAAGATCTTCAATAGTTTGTTTAGCCATTTCTGCTGATTCTTTATTATTCTCAAAAGCAGTTTGTAACTTGCTGCGCAAATCGTTAATTTCATCCATTAAGTTTTCGTTATGCGCTTTTATGATGTCTTTTTCTCGTCTTTCTTCATCGACAATTGATTTAAACGTTTGCTGTTCGTTAAATGTTATGTTCGTATCTCTTGTCATTAAAGCTTGCTTTCCTATGTTCACGTCTGTAACTTCATTTTCTACTCCAATTAAGTTATCTTCAGCAGTTGAAAGTTTTTCCTCTTTATTAGTTTTGTCTATGTTTGTTGAAGATATCTCCGCAGCATTTTTTTTTAATTCTTGTGTTTCTTTAGTACGAAGTATTTCTATTTCTTGTTCTAAAATCTTATTTCTTAACAATTCTAAAATCTTATTTCTTAACAATTCTTCTGTAAACGATTCTTTAAGACTTGATTCATTTCCAGGTTCTATTTCTTGACTTTGAATATTCTTTTTATGTAACTGAAATTGCTCGCTCTGTAACTTAAACGCATAATATTCATTTTCCAGTTTTGTATACTGTTGCTGTGCCTTGTATAATTTTTCCTTCAATACAGGTAATTCTTCCTTGTAAATCAATATTTCTTGTTTCAAATCTTCATGTTCTTGCTGAAGCAACGACATTTCTGTGTTTAATAACTCTATCTTATCCAAGGATTCATCGTGCGTAGCAGTTAATTGTTCTGACAGAGATGTATTTTCTTTAATTAATCTGTCATTATCTTGACACAATTTTACTATTTCAGATTGTCTCATGTCAACTTGAATCTGCATCGCAGTCAATTGTTCTTCCTTATGTAAAATATCATTTTTCAAATCTAATTTTTCACAATTGGCTTTATTGAGTCGTTTCTGCAAGTCTTCCAACAAATAATCAGTTTCTTCTTGTAGGTTACGTTCATACAAAGCCTTGTCACGTAATTGCATACCCAAGTGTTTATTCTTCCGTAATAAATCTTTATTTTCCTCTGTCAATTTATTTACAGTGTCTTGCAAAGATGCAAGATTAGTTTCTAATGACTTCGTTTCGGATAGCTTTAATTCTCCTTTCATATTTTCATGATCGAGTTTCAATTGCTCGATCGATGTTATACCTTCGTTTGAGTTTTTACTCTCTTCTAAAGCTATTGGAAGTTCTTTATTTTCCTCTATAAGTGTATACAGTTTGCGATTTATATTTCCTTGTAAATCATCGTTGTTCGTTAAAGGCACTTCGTTACTTTGTACAGCAAGCATCAAAGTTGAATTTGTTTCTTGTATCGTTTTATTCTCAGTCAAGAGGCGTTTTACTTCTTCCCGTAAAGATTCAATATCCATTTCTAGAGAAGCTACTCGTTCTTCGTTTGCCTCAGGAATAGATGGTAAATTCAAATCTAAACCCTGACATGATTTCATTCTCATATTTTTCTCTAACAATAACGAATCTATGTGAGATTGTAGTTCTTCGTATTCCATTTGCAAGCCATCTTTCATCTCTTCGGTTTCCTTCAAGTCTCTAGTAACTTCAGTTATCTTCCTTTCCAAAACATCTAGCTTCCATTTAGCATCAACATATTGTTTCGCAATAGCTTCGAAGATCGATTCTCCCGGTTCAGTACTACTTATGGTACAGTTCTTTAGAATAATTTTAACTTTCTCAGTAATATCGTCTAGTCGGCTTGTTTCTGATATATCAGCTTCTTGTGAAGAAACTGTTATTTGAACATGTTTGTCTGACTTATCCACATTATCCGTCTGAACAAACTGATGAATTGTTTCTGTACAGGTATTTTCATCGCGTTTCAATAAGTCATTTCGTAATTCAATTATTTTTTTCTTGGCCTCATTATAATCTACGGAAAGTTGTTCATACTCATTTTGTAGAGAGCGATGCTTCTTATTGCTTTCCTCTTTGAGCGATAATAAATTTTCTGCGCAAAAATTGGAATTTATCACTATAGTTTTTAGCAACGACAAAATTATTACGAGAAAAAATAGATATATCAAGAAAATTGTATGTGTTGATGTATTATATATAAGACTACTATTTACTTACCAATCGATTGCGTATATTCCCCGTCCAATTTTTCCATAACATTTAGAAGATCTTTATTTTCATTTTGGAGTTCTTCTATTCTCTCTTGTAATATCTCTTCTTTATTGATGAAAAGTTCCTCGGTCGTATCATGCGGTTTGCCCTGTTGCGAACTTGTATGTTTAAGAGCTAAAGAATTATATTCAAAGCCATAGACTTTTTCAAGTTCTTCGTTGGATTTTTCATGATTCTTAATTTTTTCAATCGTCTCTTTTTGCACCTCGTTTTCAATTTGTAAAGCTTTTAACGCTCCGCTGATTAAGTCAAATTTCTCACGTGAATTTAATTTTGATATTACCGAACGAAAATCATTGATAAGACTGGCTTCATCCAACTGGATATGTTTAGCGTTTCGTTCTGTCTCCCGAGTCTAAGAAAAAGCAAAATGTTGATACTAAATATTGTGAAAAAGTAAAAGTAAAATAATCTAGTTCAATAAAATATTAATTATCCATGCGATTTATTAAAACTATTTTTCATAAATTAATAAAGAGATCACTTATTATTTAAGATAGTAAAAAATACAATTCTAATAAAAAAATTTCACAAAGAATATATGAATAGGTACCTACAAAAAATATTTTTTTACTCATAGCAGTATAATAAATTATTAATTTCAAAAAAATTGTTTCCACCGGATTAACTACTCCGTATCGGATCAATATCTAATTCCCGGGAAAACGTATAATATTTTTTTCTTTCTTTATACAACTTTACATTTTGACATTTATTTTTTCTTACACACATGTGTGCGAGAGAGTTCGTTTCCTTTTCGATTCTACTGCGACTTTGAGTTCAACCTTATTTAAAATTTAGAATCTTAACAGGAAGATGATGTAAAAGATGCATAATTGATATATCGCTCCATACCTTTTCTTCCATTTGTATTATGCGATTCAGTATGTCTTGTTTCGCCCGTACAACCTCAGCCTTTTGATGTCCGTCGGATATATCATCCTTGAAGGACGTGTTCACCTGTATATCAGTTATTTCCACCAACTTAACGTCGTATTACATGGCACATTGCTGTTAACAATTATTACCTTCTGAATGTGCTTTAGCTGGCATTCTAATTCGCGTACTTTCACGGTGGCTTGTGCCAACTGCTCCTGCAGCTGGCGTACATGATTCTGATTCCTTGCGTTGCGATTGTCGACGCACGATGGTTCCCAGAAAATCCCTTCGGCCTCATCGGTGTCCCTCTACAATAAAAGATAGGATCATGGAGATATGCGTCGAGTCGTCTGTTTAACGTTCTGTAATTTCTGCCGTCAAAATCGAGTTTTTTCTCCTATTTTGAAAGTCAATTTGTATCTAATCTACCATATCCAAGTTGAATCTATTGGCAGGATCTATAATGTATACATTTAGCCAGATGTGAACGTATCTTCGTGGAAGAGGAGCGAAAGAGGCCACAGTAACAGAAGGAAGTCGAGACAATTAGATTCTTATGACAGAAGTTCCTCGTTTGCCTTTGGGTGATTCTTTGAAAACGGAACACATTCAGATTAGCGTGTCTCATTCCGGCGCAGATGCGTAACCGATACGAAAATCTTTTCGAGGTGAACGATACACGTTGTCGAAATGCTAATGACATGATGTACAGGCGTTATGCATACGGCCCTGTGACACAGGAATAGCATTGTGTTTGGACGATTTTACGTATGTGATAAAACATTCTCATCTGACGCATCTTCAGCTCGGATCGAAGAAGAAAAGAAAACGAAGATGCAACGAGCGACGGGTGCAGAGGAAGAAAATGGCGGATGAGAGATGGAGAACAGACGATACGCAGGCTCTACGGGATTACCGCGTCTGATATCATGTGATTAACGATATCAGACATGAGCAATGTATCGTATCACTTTTTCTATAATCTAGGTATTCCAATCCCTCATCGACGCGTTTTCTCAATCTTCTCCAGCTGAACGTGCTCGGAAGAAGAAACTACGCTATTGAAAGTACATCAATTATATTATCGGGGATAATTATATTTAACATCTATTTAACTCCTTCGCGTTATATGGGAGCTATTTTTTTCCTCCGGCATATCTTTCACACAAATCAATTCATGCGTTGCATCGGAGACACACGGTTTGCGTTTCGTGGTCCAAAGCGGCGGGCTGAAGTGGGACGATCCTAATGAATATGAAAGGAGGTTTCGTTGGGTCAGGTCAAGGAATAATGCGTCGTTTGACTTGCATACAGTGCTCACGACAAGAGTCTCCACCTTTCCTCCGTAACGGCCTTTTCTTTTTATCCGTTTTGCACATTTCGGTATGTTAAGAGCGATGGGAAGCAACGTCTAACGTCACGCTCAACGGCGATATTTATGTAAAATCTGCACGATCGCAAAAATGGAATACAATTACGCCAGTTTATTCTCATCGGCTCGCATCGATGCGACCAACACCGCAAAAACCATCCCGGACGACTGATAATTACGACTTCAGCTTGCTTCAGCTCACTCGAGCTATTATATGAAACCGACGTAACAATGTTCATACGTTTTGTGTGCAAATGAAAAGCAAAGCCATAAAGCTGAATAATTCAATGGATGGAATTTGTTATTTCAGAGTGACGTGTATAGCGATCATCGCGTCACGAAACAAAAAGGAAAAGAGGGGAAAAAAGGAGAAAGGGAATTTGATCGAAACAGCCGAATCAACGTACGGTCAGCGATTTCGCAAAACGTATTTTTTTTTAGTTGCTTTTCGAATATTTCTGCATTTTTAACATTACACGTACATCATATCTACACGGTAAACACTGTCGCAACGCGTTCCGCGCGCACGGTCGCACCAACGCGTCGCGTCGCGTCGCGTCGCCGCGCGCATCGCGCAGATAACGCAATCCTGATACTAAGCGTGGGAAAGGAAGTTACTATCAATCGCAATGTAAACGCGCGTGAGTTATCGTAATCTCGTGAATGAAAAACCAACGAGGTGCACTGGCGCATTCGGCCGTCGTGCGTTGCAGTTTTAGCTGCAGCGAATACAAGGAAAAAAAAAATAGGAAAAGGAAACAAAAGAAATGACTATAACGAGCCGACTAGGAGGAACGAATTTCTAATAGAACTCGCACTCCAACGTCGATTCGGCATGCAGATGTTACTCTACATGTCCCATATACGAGCCGGTAATGAAATCGCTATTACGGTGCTATATAATGCAGCGGGACACGTGCTCTCTTCTCAACTGGGACGCGAGCGGCTGCGTTCGCTCGAATCATCCGTTCCGAGGTCTTTTTGCGCGACAAATTCGCCAGAGAAGAGACATACGCGTGCGTCTCCTACTTGAGTAGATTTTTCAAACCGTCACACGCGAGAATGAGCGAATATCGCTTGATTTTATCGCCTAATACGATTAAAATTAAATGTATAATCGGAGTTTGACGAACGACGATTTGTTAACGCATCGTCACGTTCGCGCTTACGAATGAAGACATTTTTTTTCTTCTCGAAGTCGTTTCACCTCGGGGAAGTAACAAGGACGCGAGATCGTCGTTTATACGATGCATCTCACTTGGCGCATTTTTCATTTCTTTTTTGCTGATAATAAGGAATATATCGCTTATAAATATTTCTGTGCCTCTCTTTCTCTCTTTGTCCGTCTGCCTCTCTCTCTCTCTCGCACGTGCGCACGCGCGCGCGACGTTATGAAATACACACTCCGTTTGCGCACGGCGGTTTCAGGTTAACGCGGCCTGCTCTAATAGCGTGGCAGGCATATTGTACCTGCGTCAGTAGGAACATAATAATGTCCATGATGCCAGTGACGTAACCGAGTGGCCGCGACACGACACACGTCGCGCACACACACACACACACACACACACACACACACACACACACCGCGCGCACGCACACGCGAGAGCCCGCACACGCGATGTCGAGCACTAGCGCGATGTTCACGACGCATAGTTCAGAGTTCAACAAATAATCCCGAGAAATAACAGCAATTCTCTATTGTTCTATCGGGCGTCCCTATGTTTGCCTGCATTTTCGTTTACTCCGGGTGTCGAGATGAATTTGGAGCCCGGGAAGCGATCTCAAGTCGCACGCGGTAAACGAAACGGTCGTTCTCCGGTTACGATTACGTCGCGTCTAAGTGATGACATCCCGAGATATTTCGAATTGGATAGAAAGAAAAATAGATACGGCAATTCGTGAACGGCGGATTCGTGACAGCTCGATGCCGGATGGGAAAGGAAAGCGGTTTCGTTCGACGCGGAATCGAGAATCGTAGGTTACTATTTTCGGTTTCAACTCGCATGACCCTTGCATTGTCAAATATCTTGTATCAAGTAATGCTCCGATCATGGATATTCCATCGGCCGACACGATAACTCACCAGCGCGATGATAGAATTTGCTCGTCGATGGAAGATGAGGGAAATCAATCGGTGTATCGTGTCCTCGGTGAACGCTTCTCGCGGTCCTCGAAATGCGGCGATCGATTAATTAGCGAAGCGGAGATATAGTGAACGCTAATGAAAACACGCGCGCGTCCGTCGCGCCAAGATGAGAGGATGCACGCGAAGAAGAGGAGCATTATCAACGAACGTAGCGAATAACACACCGTCTGTGGTGTTAGATACTGAGAAATTAAGGCGTAATCAGCGCGTTCTTCGAGGCGAGAAATCGTCATCGGAGACGACGGGGAGTCAGCGAGTATAGCGACTCCCATACAACGAGTACGGCGAAAAAATTATGGCTGTAACCGTGTCGTTGCACGAAGATTCGCACGACGCGGCCGTAGTGCCTCCACATGCATCGCACCAGACGTTCTTGATCTTTGATCAATGCGAAAGAAAAGAGATCTCTCCCTATACGAACGTTAACTGCATAGATGATCAAGCCAGCGTCTTAACATTGTTTAATTCATCAATATTAACTCTTAATAGACGCGATTCGGTTTTTTGTGTTCTGCGTATTCCTTTTCTTCGAAATATTAGCAGTATCTGGCTTAAAAACTAATAATAATCTCTACCTTTTTGACCATTTTACTGATCGCATTGTAAAGCGAAATAGTTATTTTGTTAATTTGTCAGTATTATATATTGAAAAGGACTCAAATTAAGGATCGAAATGTTCATATTGTATTTCTATTTCATTAATATACTTTTTACACCCGATTACCTATAGCATCAGCTTGCAGCTTTTGTTGAATTTATGGTTTCTATCTCTTCCTTTTTTTATAAATACATAACCTTACAATACGTGAACTAATTTTTTTTTTTACTAATTTTACAATTAGCTGTTGTGTAATTAAGACGTTATTGAAAACCAAGTCTCTTCTTGGCGATATAAGCTAAAGTAATAAACTATTCTTGTTCTAATACATAACTTTATAAATACTTTCTAAAGATGTCAGAGTATATATAAGAATCATTTAATAATTTTTATATATTTATAAAAATGAAAATTAATTCGGAATACGAATGATTCGTGTGTAGTAAAGAACGGAAAATCATCACGTGTATTGAAAAAGAATCTTAATAGCTCACCAAATATTGAGTGAAATAATTTCAATCAAATATTTGGTTAACTAAGAATAATTTTATTTTTCTAAATCTTTAACAAGTATTACGATAATAATATAATCAACCGTTTGCTAATAATTACTAGATATTTAAAAAAATAAAATTATTTTTGGTTATTGAACATTTGATTGAAATAATTTCATTCAACATTTGGCAGCTATTACTAGACTCTTTTTACAGTGTAAAGGTGTGTTAATTGGTGATCTTCAAAATCCCGAGAGAAGAAAAATTCTTTCTCTTACATTTTTCTTATAACGTTGAAATTTTCATGTATAACGTCGAATGTTGCGCGTTTAACCCATCTTGTCCGTTTAGCTATGCATATCCATGTCCGATCATCCTCCGGTTTAACGCTTATGTTTATTAATGCCGACGACAATACTCGAAAGTTTTCGAAACGATGAATGCACAGACATGGCGTTCTTATATCGCTATTGTGAGTGAAGGCAAATGAATAGCCTATAATACTTTTTATCATGTACACAGTATCCTTTAACCCCTTCTCAACTCCATATTTGCATACGTGCGTGCGCGCTTGGCATGTGCCGTCTATATATATGTGTGTTTCACTTACAAGATTAATAGACCTAATTTTTTAATACTAAATTCAAAGTGTCTTCGTAATCAAACATTTGTATTACACCGAACGTACCATACAT